TTTAAATCTGCATGGCACTTTACTCCAATTGGCTCATTCGCTTGCTTAAACTCAACGTTGATTCTGATTCCGCAGAACTGGGTTGGGTGTGAAAAAATATTTGTTGTTAACATTCTTTTTTTTAATTCGGTTTTTCCAGTTACGAGTCCTTTTTTAAAAACTGATCGTTTTGTGTTCATTTTGTTTAGTTCTTTTTTCGTAACTGATTTAATGTTTACTATAGAGCTTAGAAAAAAAAAGTCAGTGTGAGATAGGCAAGAATTAAGGCATGTAGCAACATCAACATGGCAAAGGACACTCCCTTAAAAATCAAGGAAGGACAAAAATATTTTAAGTCAAGTGATAGCGATTGCTGTATGAGTCGTACGATTTTGGAATCCTCGCCATGCTGCTATGTATATATATATATATATATATATATATATATATATATATATATATATATATATATATATATAAATAAAAGTAAAAAATATGTTGGTATATAATCCAAGTGGATCCCAGTAATATAAAATATTAAAACTATTACACAAATAGAGCTCAGTGTATTTATTATTACAAAGCAAATAATTAATAAACAATAAAATGCCAAATCACCTGATATTGGGAATAGCCTACCTCGACAGACCAAGGCACCGGTCGTCCGTCTTAACAACCCCGGCGTGGACTGAGTTCCTGTCAGAAATAGAAATTTAACTGTGGAAGCTTAAAAAAAACAAAAAAAAAACGTCTAAAGTCTAATACAGAAATTATCCATTTCAATGTTTCAGTCAGACAAAAGGCACGAGGCATTTAAAATTCATTTTCGGTAAGGGTTTTTTTTTTAAGGGTTTTTTTTTATAAAATTAAACCAGAATGTTGAGATAAGAATCAAATTAAAATGAAGAAAAAAAATCAAAATAAAATTAAAACAAAAAGAAAAATTTTCTGTTCTGAAAAAACTTCCCTACTCCTAATTTAACAACCGAAGAAAAAAAAAAAAAATGTTGAGATAAAAAAACAAATAAAGATGAAATTGAGAAATCAAAATTTTATGTGTAATAATGAAAGACTTCATGTCAAAATCTGAAAACAAATTCAAAGCATTCCTCCTAATTTAACAACCGAAAAATAATAATAATAATTAAAACTTTAGGAATGCAGATTATATAGTTGGAGAGTTGAATAGACTTGCTATCACTTGGTTCCCATTGGTCGCCTCCTCCTAATACAAGTGGTTTGTTAATCCATCCAAAATAAATTAAGTCGATACAGATGTGAATCTGTTTAAGAAAATCACATGTCTTCGACCTAATAATCATTGTTGAGAGCAATTCGCTCGCTTAGCACAAAGAAAAATAATTCTCATCGACAATATATATATATATATATATATATATATATATATATATAAAATGAATTCAACCCTAATCGTTACGAACAATGCCGTTGCTCTCAATTTAACGGCGAAATACACACACTAAGATGGCGTCAAAAGGTAAGTAGAAGACATACTAAAAACTCATTAAAATTCTTCCTCTTCTAGGATATTTTGATGGAGGCGGGACTAAAATTTGGGTAAAAAAAATCCTCTAGAAAGAAAAAAAAAAATAGAATAAATAAGTTTATTGAAACAGGGCTGGGAGACCTATGAAGGCCAGTTGGCGGGGTATGTATCCACGTGACTCGATATTGACAGTTTAGTATATAAGGTATGGGGGCACCATTTGCCTGGTCTCCGACGACAGCCGCAGTTGACTGACGTATTCGTCGAAGGGTCGATACGACAGAGCCAGCCGAATTTTTTCCAGAGGTAAGTCGGAAGTGAAGTCTCCCTATAGTAACTTTATTTTTTTCATTTTTTTCTATTTTTTTTTCCATTTTAAAAAAACATGTTTACACACATATATGCATTTTGGAGGAAATTCAAAATAAAAAAATCACAAATTATACAACAATACATTTATCTCATAATAGGTGTTGTATTTATTGTATAAAGATATACACAAATATAACAGTTCGTATGGGTCAGAGGTAGAATTTATTTTACTGTTTTCTCTAGCTTAAATATTTTATTTAAGCTTTTGTTCCAAATCAAATATATATACAGGTTTTATCAAAATTTCTAACGCGGTTTGCTTTAATATTTTTTGTTGTGATTTCCTCTTGTTTTTGTATAAGTTAACGGCTGTTTGATTTCATCGAACACTGACAAAAGCAAATATATCAAAGTTTTCTTAATTTTGAAACCATTTCTGTTCTTGAAAATCACCAATAATTGTGGGAAACGCCAGGATATATGCATACAAACAATTTTTACGTACATTAGATCCAAGCAACCATTATCTTGACCGAAAAGGTCTAGAATTAAGAAAAAAATCAAATAATATATATTTTAGCAGAAATATTCCGTTTTATACAGGTTTTATTAAAAATTCTAACAAGGTTTGCTTTAATATTTTTTGTCGTGATTTCCTCTTGTTTTTGTATAAATTAACGGCTGTTTGATTTCATCGAACACTGACAAAAGTAAATATATCAAAGTTTTCTTAATTTTGAAACCATTTCTGCTCTTGAAAATCACCTATGATTGTCGAAAACGCCTGGATATATGCATGCAAACAATTTTTACACATTAGATCCAAGCAACCATTATCTTGAACGTAAAGGTCTAGAATTAAAAAAAAAAAAGCCGGAAACATGTTAGTATTTATAAGTTAAATTGAGTTAGAAAAAAAAAATGTTAAAAAAATACCTGGACAGTTTTAATCTTCGCAGATGAAGAGTCTTGAGGGAAGAGATATATGATTCTACCCAAGGAGGTTGAGACTACCGTAGACCCAAACATGTTTTTTAAAGTCTTAGAGTAAATGCAAACAAAAAGGACACTTGTAATTAACACCAGAAAGAGAGAGTTGAAATTTATAAGACGTATAATAAGGAAAGAGGACTTGGAAAATTTGACACTCACAGGAGGAACTGAAGGCAAGAGGGACAGAGGAAAACAGCGCATAACCTACCCGTCAAGCTTGAGTGAATAAAACAAAGTTTAGGAGAAATAACAAAAAGACAAAATTTATTAAGGGCTACACAGGATCGGAAATTGTGGAGAGTCATGATCTCCACTGTCCTGAGGCGACACGGTACATAGAAGAATTTTTTTTTTATTTTTTTTATTTTCTTTGAATTTCTGGGATGAAGAATTATTATGTATCCTATTTATATTCAAACTATTATTCTTATCTTTGTTGTTTTTGTGACAAGGTTTCGACCATTGTGTCCTCCGGCCTTCTTCAGGTGTATATTCATCGGGGTAACTTTTTTTGGAATTCCTGAGATGAACTCTTTATTTTATCTAATTTTCATCTACTGTCCAATTTTTACTGTTCATGTTCTCTAGAAATTCGTCTTGAACACTTCTCATCGTTTTTGCTCGCCTGTTTCAAATCAAATCAACATTCTATTTCCCACCTATAGGTTACTCACATCGATATATACCTGAGGAAGACCGGAGCTCACAACGGCCGAAACGTTGTGATAAGAACAAAGATGAAGACAATAGTCCGACTATAATTAGTATTTTCTAACAGACGTGCTGTGGCTTCCCTCTGTCCTTTCTACAAATATTATCATGGCAACTGCTCTGACGAGCTACTTTCACTGGTACCCCAACTGCATGAATTTAAGTGTGGTACTAGGTTGGCATCTCGGTCCCACCCATTCACTTTTGAAACGGTTAAATGTAGCTGTCTCTTCTACCTCAACAACTTATTATCTCGCACTTCCCGACAGTGAAACTCCCTTCCTCTTACTCGCTTCCCTGATAGCTATAATCTTCAAATATTCAAATGTAATATCAATCGACATCTTCTGATGCCTTGATCCTGGTCGCCGCCCTTCTCTTTATCCTTTCCTCAAACACCCCTCTTTACTTTTGCTTTTACTCTCTGTAACCCCATTGCGTGCTAGTGGCACTCTTGCCTTGCTTGGGGGGAAGTGCTTATGGAAAAAAAAATCATATCTATCTATTAACCAATATGTCTAGGTTTTTCATATCTATCTATCTATCTATCTATCTATCTATCTATCTATCTCTTCATTATCTATCTATCTATCTATCTATCTATCTATCTATCTATCTATCTATCAAAATGTAATGTCATCATCTGATGCGTTTATCTTGATCTCCGTCCTTCTCTTTATCCTTTAATCAAGCACCCCTCTTGCTCTCACTCTCTGTAACCCCTTGTGTGCTAATGGCACCCCCATCTTGCTTGGGGTGAATTGCTTAAGGAACAAATAATTCATATCTATCTATCAACTAATCTGTCTAGGTTTTTCATATCTATCTATCTATCTATCTATCTATCTATCAATCTCTCTATCTATCTATCTATCTCAGTCTCTTCATATCTATCTATCTATCTATCTATCTATCTCAGTCTCTTCATATCTATCTATCTATCTATCTATTTATCTATCTATCTATCTATCTATCTATCTATCTATCTATCTCAGTCTCTTTATACCTATCTATCTATCTATCTATCTATCTATCTATCTATCTCAGTCTCTTCATATCTATCTATCTATCTATCTATCTATCTCAGTCTCTTCATATCTATCTATCTATCTATCTATCTATCTATCTATCTAAATGTAATGTCATCATCTTCTGATGCCTTGTTCTTGATACCCTTCCTTCTCTTTATCCTTTCCTCAAACACCCCTCTTTACTCTTGCTCTCACTCGCTGTAACCCCCCCCCTGCGTGTTAGCATATCACCTCGCCTTGCTTGGGGGTGATATGCTTAAAAATAATAATAATAATTCCATCGTTATTGTTCTAATTATTAATGGTTCTGGGGTATTTTTGTGTGACGTAATATTAACGAAATAATTGCTTCAGACTGAACTTTATTGCCAGGATCGATGTTGCTTAACTTCGGTGATCGTACGGAAAACCAGCTTCCCGGTTAATAATTCTGAGCCATTATCCATTACATTACCCGCACATCCACGCTTACAGCACCTGGTATTCCCAAGCGGTCACCCATCTAGGTAGTGAACAGGCTCGACGTTGCTTAACTTCGGTGATCGTATGAGAACCGAGATTTCAACGTGATATGATCGTAAGCCTCGAGATTTGATAGAAAGGAAAAAAGGAAAGAAAGATATACGAGATTTGATAGAGGGAAGGAAGGAAAGAAAGAATAAAAGATATTCGATAAAAAGAAAAAAGGAAAGAAAAAAGAGATTTGATAGAAAGAAAAAAAAGAAAAGAAAGAATATACGAGATGTAATAGAAAGAAAGATGGAAAGAAAGAAAGAAAGAATAAAATAGATATGGTGAGAAAGGAAAAAAGAATAAACGAGATTTCATAGAGAAAAAAAAGGAAAGCAAATACAAAGGTAAGAAAGAACATTTTAAAGTGGAAAGTAGAAAAAAAATGAAAACCATTTGAAAAAATATATATATATATATATATATATATATATATATATATATATATATATATATATATATATATATATATATATATATATATATATAGGGACGGTGGAGTAAAAATTGAGGAATCGGGGAATATGAGTTCGAATTCCAGTCGAATCCATTTCATTCATTCATGATAACACCCTGGAAAGGTGTGAATCCTCTTCTTCTCCCTCCGGCTATGAGTAAAAAGCAGGACAGACTGGCTGGATTCTATAGCCTTGGATGGCAGTTGGTCTAGGAGAATTCAAAACCTGCGGAGGGTTGTTTCGGGACCTTGTGTCACTTAGTGCACCAGGTCTCTGTAATCGGCCCTTCAAAAAGTGTGGATGGTCCTGCACGAAACCTTCACCACTAGAATCAAATCTCATGTGCTGTTGTCGGGCTGTCGGTTTCCTAGGAAGTGATCTGCTTGACCCTCACACATCGAATTCGTCAGGCGAGTCGAGGAATATATATATATATATATATATATATATATATATATATAGACGAAATTCCCAGATGAAGTCTGTGGACAAGACTCATTTGGTTCAAATGACAATTGGAAAAAAATTATCTTAAATTTTTTGTTGAAATGGTTTCATCTTTCGATTCTTTTTCAAGGCAATTTAAATCGAAATGTTTTTGTTGTTATAGTTACATTTAAAAATGAAATTAAATTTGGATTTTTAATGTAACTATAACAACAAAACATTTTTCTTCCATTTTTGCCTTGAAAAAGTTAGACGAAACGCGTCGGCAAAATACTTATTTTTCAAAATAAATTATATTGGATATATATATATATATATATATATATATATAAATATATATATATATATATTAAAAAACGAACGAAGAGTAAAAAATGCAGCGTTGAAAACATTAATTTTAAAAAAAATTAATACAAATGTAAATAGCAATAAATATTTATTTATTATGCAGTGTTAGAAATAGAATATGTGCAATACCACTACAAAAAAACTGTACATCTTAATTAAATTCAACCTGATGAAATATTTAAAAAAATTTAATGTTGAAACAAGTTATACAGTTCTGTAGTGAATATGTACATGTTCTAATGTTCTTCTATAATATATATATATATATATATATATATATATATATATATATATATATGTTCAATTTTTTTTAAATAATCTTTTAAACGTCTTTCGTTAAATATGACAGAAGGAAAATTTAATTAATTTTTTATTTAGTTTTTTCCAGCGTTGTCACATTTTTTTTATTTACTGGGAGTAAGAGTGTACAAAAATTGTCCATATTGTCCTATTGTCCATTGTCCCGAGCGTTTTTGGCCACATTTTAGCCACTTTCAAGGGGGATGTGGGTTTTAGGTGTTGTTAATTTCTTATCATGTTTGACTTTTTAAGATGTTATTAATTTACATTCGCATGGAGTATTATTTTTCCATATATGGGCTTTACCTTCTGCTTACCTCAGAGTTCTTGACAAGATCCAGAGACGGATATGTAATCTAATTGGCCCTGATCTGGCGTCTCGTCTGAAGTCACATCTCACAGACGCGCAGTCGCCTCTCTCTTTCTTTCTACAAATACTTTTTAAAAGACTGCTCTGACGAGCTGCTTTCACTGGTTCCCAGACTCCATGAATTCAAGCGCCCTACGAGGCTGGCATCCCCCTCTCACCCCTTACACCGTAGAAACTCTCAAATGTAGCCGTCTCTTCTACTCCAATAGCTTCATAACTCGCACCTCTTGCCAGAGGAACACCCTCCCCAGTTTCTAACGTTTCCCAAGGCTATAATCTCCAACTATTCAAATGTAATGTCAATCGACACCTCCAGTTACCTTGATCTACCCACTATCCTTCTCCTCATCCTTTCTCCTATCACTCCTATCTGCTCTCGCTCCAAATCTTCCGCAACTCCCTGCATCCTAGTGGCTTCACATCTTGCTCGGGGCATAATGCTTAAAATATATATATATATATATATATATATATATATATATATATATATTGAAATCATTATTCGAGATTTTCTCCTGATTAAGGGTATTTATATCATTTTTCCAAAATAATCCATTGCTTTTTTACCAGCTGTTTTGGTTGTTTCTTTAATAGTCTCTCTCTCTTTCTCTCTCTCTCTCTCTCTCTCTATATATATATATATATATATATATATATATATATAAAATAAGGTAACAAATCAATTGGTATATAATCTTACTCGAAGATCTCCCCGACTCTCATTCCATTAATCCCTTACTTCCTTTTATCTATGTATTTTAAAGTTATTAGGTTGGTGCAAAAATAATGACGTAATAATGTCGTTTTTTGACGTTAAAAAATACGTCAAAAAACGACATTATTACGTCATTATATTTGCACCAACCTAATATTAATCAAAAACCAAAAAAAAAACAAACTTTTTTATTCCTCTTTTAATTTTAAATTAATATTTCATTCTTCATATAACCCCAAAATTTATGTCATAAGGTTAATATTCAGGTTTAATTTTATAAAACCTCTTCCTTTTAAGACAAATTCCTTACACCTGTCCCTGTCTCGTGCCTTTCGTCTGAATGAAACATTCAAATGGATAATTTCTCTATTAGTTTCTCGACTGTTTTTTTTTTTTTTTGCTTGTTTTTTTTTTACCTTTAACAATTAAATTTCTATTTCTGACACAAACTCAGTCCATACCGGGGTTGATAAGACAGACGACCGTTATATTCGTCTGCCTAAATAAACTATATTTTTGATTTTATTTTTATATATATATATATATATATATATATATATATATATATATATATATATATATATATATATATATATAAGAAATATAGTCTTAAGATGTGCTATATTTATGGGATAAAGATCGATATCAGAGATAGAGCGTGTGTAAAAATACAAAAGTAAATAGAAGTCAACAAAAGGCGACAGTCTGTTTCATATATTTTTAATCGTCAATATACGAATGTTTAAAAGCATTGACGAATGCATATAAGTGAAACAAACTGTAAAAAAATTTTACATTTTATATATATATATATATATATATATATATATATATATATATATATTCACACACACACACACACACACACAACACATACACATATATATATATATATGTCATATATATATGTATGTATAATTAATGTCTATTTGGGTAGCAACCTTTCTTATAAACATGTTTCGTTGGCTATGGTAGACAAGGAAAATTTTATTTTTTACTTTATTTTTCCAGCATTCTTACATATTTTTTTTTCATTTTGTGGGAGTAAGGGTGTACAAAAATTGTACATCTTGCCCATTGTCCTTAGCTTTTGTGGTCACTTCTTTAGCCATATTCAAGGGGGAGTGTTTTAGTTGTGTGTTGATTTCTCTTCATGTTTGACTGTTAGTATTAAAAAAACACAAAAAATACAGATTATAATAAATAAAAACTTTTATTAATTTATTAAGAGCTACAAAAGGCTGGAAATTGTGGAGAGCCGTGATCATAGAAGAAAAAGAGAACTGTATTGGCGCAATTCCTACCTAAATCTAAAGAGTCAATTACAAAGCACTTCAAGCAAATGTCAATTTGTATTTTCACATTTTAAAATATGATCTTGTTCTTACGAGGCGCACCTAATTTCCTCTCGCCGAACCCCAGTGTGCTACCGCCTACGATTAGTGAAACGCAGGGCTTCTTCTTCTATGTGAGGTTTCACTTTAGGGTGTTGGCGATCATGGCTCTCCACAACTTCCATTCCTTTGTAGCTTTTAATAATTTTTTTTTTTGCTATCTCTCCCAAACCCTGTTCCGCCATCCAGCCACTTGAGCTTGCCAAATAGGTTATGCGTTGCTTTCTGTGTTCCTCTTGCCTTCAATCTGTCCTGTGAGTATCAGATTTTCTAAGCCCTCTTTCCTCATTATGTGCCCTAGAAAGTTCAACTCTATCTTCCTGATGTTGTTTCTTTTATTTCCATTGTCTGTAGAACTTTGTCGTTGGTCGGACCATGTTATCAATATTATTCGTGTGTAGATCCACAATTCTGTTGCTTCAAGTCTCTTCTTTTGCGAAAAGATTGTCAAGTATATATATATATATATATTAGGACTAATATTATATGACAGTTCAGTACTTTTTACGTTGCTTTCGGTATTTTATCACTTTGTTCAGCTTTTGTAAGTATTGGGTTGGTGCATAATTATCAGGCGTTTTTTAAATATTTATTATGTAAAAAGTACACAAAACAGCAATTTTTAGTAACAAAATAACTCGTCGAAAAACGCCCGATAATTATGCACCAGCCTAATATATCTTTCCTTATCCCAATGCATCTTCGAACTTCAGGGTCGCACTTTCCGTTTTCTGTTAAAATGCTTCCCAGATGGTTAAATTGTACTTGTTTTGTTTTGTTATCCCCAATTTGTAATTCGCATTTTGGTCCGTCTGTTTTGCTAACACATTTTTGAAAAAGATTGTCAAGTATATATATATATATATATATATATATATATATATATATATATATATATAGATTAGGAGTAATATTATATCACAGTTCAGTACTCTTTTCATTGTTTCAAACGAAATTTTTCGGTATCATATCACTTTGTTCAGTTTTTGTAAGTATTGGGTTGGTGCATAATTATAAGGCGTTTTTTAAATATTTTATT